TATGATTCATCAAGGCCCTAATTTATTCTATATGACAGATAAGAAGCCAGCCATCTTGATGGCTGTATTTTATATTAATTCTTAATCTTTATTGCGAGTAATTCTATTTTCTGAATTAAGAACAGGTATGTCAATCTTAATTTATTTGTAGAATCTCTGATACCTACGGGACACTTACGTGATAGCATATCACCATCACCAAATGCAAGAAGACATCAATGTTATAGTGTCTACTTGTGAATACTTAATATCCTTTCCTGTTCTCTTTCTATGTATATAAACCTTCTATTATAGTCATAAAATTGTTAAAGCTTAAATCAGACATTGGCAAAATTTCTCTAACAGTGAACTACATGTTCATTGTAAGGTTGGCCGTACTAATAAAAAAAAAAAATGTTCTATTTTCACTATAGAAGATCATACACAAAAACATGTTCCTAAGAAATAAGGAAAAACTTGTATATACAGAGTTCGACAAAAAAAAAAAAATTATACACACTTCAGAAAAGGAAAAACTTGTATAGATTTTGTAATACTAAATTTATTCACACTATTTACATTATTCAGACTATTGTCCTCATCTTTGTCGCCATATTTATTACAACGTTTTGAACGTTGTAACACTCCGGCCATCTTCAGGTGGTTGGAATGTCAAACTGAACCCTTTATTTTGCTCACTGGGGTAGACTGTTCTAGTTCCATATGCCATGTTTAATGGATGTCATTTATCAGTTATCTCCTGTTAATTCCCCTCTCCAAGTTCTCCACTGCGTTAACCAGGTATTGAACTCACACTCTTTGGGTCCTGTCACTGGATCTAACTAACAACTTTATCCACTGTACCATGTGTCCCCAGTTCAATACCCACTAATACTAAATTTATTCACACTATTAATGGATAAAGGCATTGGTTAGATCCAGTGACAGGACCCAAAGAGTACGAGTTCAATACCGGGTTAAGGCAGTGGAGAACTTACAGAGATAACTGATTACTGACATCCATTAAAACATGGCACATGGAACTAGAACAGTCTATCCCAATGAGTGAAATAAAGGGTTCAGTTCGACATTCCAACCACCTGAAGAAGGCCAGAGTGTACAACAGCCGAAATGTTGTAATATGGCGACAAAGATGAAGACAATAGTCTGAATAATGTAAATAGTGTACATAATACCTCTTCTCAGAAATATAGACAGATAAATTTATTCAGACATCATGAGATTTAATACAAGTTAGTTTTGAAAGGTATCTTTTGCTATTTTAATGCACACTCAGAATTCTGTGTCCCATTTTCCATTGTCTGTTATAACATTTGCCAGATTGTTAAATTTGCCTATTTGCTTGATGCTGGCATAAGTTATGAGTTTCAGATGTTGTAGTTACCTTATTTACATCCTTTACAAGATACATACCAATGCTGCATATATCAGCATGCTTACTTACCTTGTTCATAGGTTAGCATATGGCTACAAAAGAACAGTTTTATTTTTTTTTTTTTTAAATATCAACTAATTAGGAATACAACACTTTTCATCTTTCTTATATCCTGAAATTGAACTGGAATCCCTGGCAGGATTGCAAAAAGTACAAAAGTAGTTGTTGAATCTTGAATCAATGTAGAAAATGGTGTGTCATGGACAAATGACGTTAAATGCATTAAAGATGTGAATGCAGAAGATGAGAGCCACTTGTCTGTCTGAGGTTAATGTCTTTCCTTTCATGTCATCTTAAATTTCCTGCTTCGGTGCTCTTAGCTATAGGGAAGTGTCTATGCTCTGTCAAGGCTGAAACAATTGTTCATTGTTCAGAGGTGAAGAGAAAGTAAGTGAAACCACATTACTCAAAACTTGGATGTCTAACTCTTCAGGAGTCATTAGTTATTTGCACATGCCCAAACTCTGCTTTTCACATTTCAACTGTTCAAGCAAGGAGGAGCAACAGGATCTGTTTAGTGACACTTTTTCATGACTATAAAAGCTAGGCTCTGATATTCTTTCATGGAATATTTTGAAATCTTGACTTTCTTGAAGTTTTTTTTTTTTTCGAAAACATTCTTCAAAAAGGCAATTTCTAATTTATTCCTCACAGCAAACTTTTTTTATAATTATTCTTATTATTAAACCCTTTTGAACTTGAACAACTATTAAGGGTGGAGTTGTACAATATGACAGGTCGGCAACTATGTACCGACTTAAGTTTTTAAAATCATTCAGTGTACCAACAGCATACGTATTTTTTTTATACAAGTCTAGGTCAATATAACTTCTACAATATACTTTATATTGTAATATATATAATATGTAAACTGTATTAATATAAAATAAATAAACTGTTTTTTACTTTGTTTTTTTTTTTTTTTGTTTTTTAAGTTTTTGTTTATGCGAGTCCAACAAGTGAGCAGTTTTGAAACAGTCAAATGTCTTCTTTGCATTCTAATAGTTATTAATTCAGATTCATGATGTCATTTGTGGCTGCATGCCATTAGAAATTGCTTGATGTGGTACACATGCTGTAGGTTGCCAACCCCAGTGACATAATATTTTTAATATTATGTATATATCTGGAACATTTAATCTATAGCAATATGAAAAAAAAAAAAAATTTTTAAGTTTTATAAAAGTTAATAATAGGTAAGGTGCAGTTCTTTTATGTAAACTCATTGTAAACTGATCCCTCTACAGAAGCCAAAACAAAATGTATTCATACATATGAGTTTTAAAACATTTGAAAAATGCTCCCCCCACACACACACATTAAGCACTCCAAATTAAGATATTTCAAAATGTTTTTTCATAATTTAAGATATTATGAAGTATGAGCATATTTTGTTTTGGTTTCTGTCGAAAGGAGTCGGTTTATAATCAATTTACATAGCAGACTGAAACTGCCTATTAATTATTATAAAATGAAAAGAAATAAAATTTCTTCCTGTGTAGTTGTATGAAAAAAAAGAAATTTGGAAAATTCTGGTTACACCTCAACCAAATTAAGAATCTAAATTTATTTCTGGTTATTTAAGGCCTGATAGTATTAAAATTTAACCCTAATCAGCCCTTAAGAGATTTTAATTGTTAAATCCCTGGAGTCCTGAAAAAATGTTTAAAAGTCTAAATATGTTGCTAGTGCAAATAAAAATTGAAATATCTCCAAAAACTGTTGAAAATACAAGCATTACAAGTTAATTTTATATAGATTTAAATTAATTTCTCTTTCAAATGATACCAAATTTAGCCTCATTCATATTATTGGTTATAAGATATGGTTTTGAAAATCTACTAGTTTTTGAAAAAAATTGTAGATTTTTGGCATAGAGTTGATCTTGTGACTGGTGTTAATGCTGTTCTTTGAGATACAGTACTACTTGATTGCAGACACATTCAAAGTGAACCATTTGTGTGCTTTCAATTTTAAAAGGTTAAATCTGATTTTGTTAATATTTAATGTTGTTGATGCAAACTTTATCAAATATAGAAGTAATGTTAAACCTTGTTTTCAAGTTTGTGATAATTTCCCATTTACCTCTTCACTTTGTAAATAATTCATTCTGAGTAGACAATAAGAGAAAATGACGTTTATAAATAGTTAATTATCTGAAATAGAATTTTAACATGTTTTAGAAGAAAAAGGAGATAGAATTCAATTAAATACAAGATTGACAAAACTAAGCATGTCATAATTCACTGGCATATTGAAGACCAAAATAGTAACACCTGAATCTATTAAATCTAAAATATGACTGACCAATTCTGCACATAATATGTGGTTATGTTTGTAGAATGATTGTCTGAATGTTAAAAGCCATTCTTCTTTATATTCATCTGAGAGGAATCAAATTATATTCTTCTGTAGCAAATAAAAAGTGGAAAAAAATTGTAACTTATTTGACCCTGGCCTGATGAAATTAGATATTGACAAACTGTCATTGTAAATAATAAAAAAAAAATAAACATGCAGGTGTATGAACATAAAGCTTAGCATAGGAGAAAACGCAAAACAAATGAGAAAAATATCCAAGTAATTGATATTGTCATAAGTAAAGATGACGCGACTCCTAGACTAACTTCGTTTTTCCTACCAACGCACCTCTTAGACTAACTTCGTTTTTCCTACCAACGCACCTCTTAGACTAACTTCGTTTTTCCTACCAACGCACCTCTTAGACTAACTTCGTTTTTCCTACCAACGCACCTCTTAGACTAACTTCGTTTTTCCTACCAACGCACCTCTTAGACTAACTTCGTTTTTCCTACCAACGCACCTCTTAGACTAACTTCGTTTTTCCTACCAACGCACCTCTTAGACTAACTTGTTTTTTTTCAACGCACCTCTTAGACTAACCTCTGTTTTTCCTACCAACGCACCTCTTAGACTAACTTCGTTTTTCCTACCAACGCACCTCTTAGACTAACTTCGTTTTTCCTACCAACGCACCTCTTAGACTAACTTCGTTTTTCCTACCAACGCACCTCTTAGACTAACTTCGTTTTTCCTACCAACGCACCTCTTAGACTAACTTCGTTTTTCCTACCAACGCACCTCTTAGACTAACTTCGTTTTTCCTACCAACGCACCTCTTAGACTAACTTCGTTTTTCCTACCAACGCACCTCTTAGACTAACTTCGTTTTTCCTACCAACGCACCGTTTCTTAGACTAACTTCGTTTTTCCTACCAACGCACCTCTTAGACTAACTTCGTTTTTCCTACCAACGCACCTCTTAGACTAACTTCGTTTTTCCTACCAACGCACCTCTTAGACTAACTTCTGTTTTTCCTACCAACGCACCTCTTAGACTAACTTCGTTTTTCCTACCAACGCACCTCTTAGACTAACTTCGTTTTTCCTACCAACGCACCTCTTAGACTAACTTCGTTTTTCCTACCAACGCACCTCTTAGACTAACTTCGTTTTTCCTACCAACGCACCTCTTGTATAATGTAAATTAAATTTTATTTTAATTTAATTTCAGGACGGGTACGACTTTGGCTGAGATACTGTAATGGAGAAATTGACTGTCTCATCGTTAACCTTCAATTGCTGGCTCCTGTTCTTCTTGGCCACGGCTGCTCATGGCACTGCTGACTTGACCTTGCTTAGAGTGCAGGAAAACCTGTCCAACAATACCCTTGTTGGTACGTTCAGTACCAACCCAGTTAATATATACTGGACTGCGGCTGACAAAAATTTGATTGAGAAAATGTTCAAGATTAACACGACTGCTGGCACCGTTCGAACCAGGGTCCCCCTCGACAGAGAAGAACACAGTTCATATGAGTTTACTGTCTTAGCAATGACCAAACAGTTTACAGTAAAGATTGAAGTTTTAGATGTAAATGATAATGACCCTGTGTTTCATCCAAATTTCTTGTCAAAACGTCTCTCCGAGACAGCCTCTGATATGAAGATACCCTTAGGAAGCGTGTCTGACAGTGACATCGGGAAGAATAGTATAAGTGGCTGTGAAATTGTCTCTGGTAATACAGATAATGTTTTTAGACTCATAACCAAAGTCACAAACCAAAGACTTTTGCTTGATCTGGCTGTAAATCGAAAACTAGATTATGAACGTACACCATTCTATAGTTTGGTTCTTAGAGCGTTTGACGGCGGTGATAAGCCACGCTCTTCTTATTTGACATTGAATATTAGTATAATTGACAGCAATGACAATTATCCAATGTTCCCTATGAGTCTATACAATGCAACAGTAATGGAAAATGCCACTGTTAGAACAAGCATCCTTCGTGTGTCGGCTACAGACTCTGATTCCGGAGAGAATGGCAAGATCCGTTTTTCAATTGACCACAAATCTGACTTGGAGGAGCACTTTGCCATTCACCCAGTCACCGGTGTTATAAGCTTACAAAAGCCTGTGGACTATGAAAGCAGGAAAGTCTATGACTTGATTGTTATAGCTACAGATAACGGCTCCGAACCTCTAGCATCTCAGGCCGCTGTCTCTATATCGGTTTTGAATATTAACGAGCACCCACCTGATATTCATTTAACCTTTCTTACCGGCAATGAGACAGTTGGCCGGATCTCGGAAGGAGCCAAACCAGGGGACTACGTAGCCCGAATATCTGTCAGTGATCCAGATGCTGCCCTCCAAGCCGACGGCAACGTCAATATAAACATTTCTCTCATTGGAGGAGATGGTCGTTTCAATCTGACGACCAAAGACAGCATTGTGTACTTGGTATTAGTTCAGATGCCACTGGACCGTGAGCTTAAACCATTTTACAACCTGACTGTGATCGCAAGAGACTCGGGTTCTCCCCCTTTAGAAAGTCGTCTGTCGTTTCTTTTAAGAGTTGACGATATAAATGACAACAAACCAAATTTCACTCGAGCCGTTTATCATGCAGAAGTACAGGAATCGGTGCAGAAAGGAGTGTCCGTGATCCAGGTTCATGCAGAAGACAAAGACGAAGGCAACAATTCCACTATTACATATTCAATCCTGCATACACCGGAGACTAATTCCAATTGGTTCACAATAAATTCTCGCAATGGACTCATCACCACCAATGCCAAAGTTGACTGCGAGACAAATTCGCAGCCTCGGATTACCGTCCAAGCTGTTGATGGCGGCATTCCTCCAATGTCTGCCACGGCATTAGTGATTGTTACCATTCGTGATATCAATGACAACCAACCCAGTTTCACACATAGTTATTACAATGTCTCAATCCCAGAAAATTCAACCGTCAACACCTGCATTCTTACGGTAAGTCCTCTTTATCTCTCTCCCACTTTTATTTACTTTTTGCCTTTTGTTATCACTAAATTTTATATTCTTCCTAACAAGTTACAACTTGTTCTTTCATTGTGGTTTCTTTTAAGGGGTTTTGTTAGTGTCATTACTATAGCTCTTCTGACTATTTACAAAAAAGCACTCCTCACAAAAAGTCTTGCCTCCATATATTACCTCTTGCTGAGAGAAATACAACACTTTTATTCTTATTTCTATCTGTCGCATGTATATAACTTGAAAATCAAATATACATGCAATTTACATTTTATTTATGTATTAAAGAATATGGTTATATACTCCTATGCCTCGTGTCCATTCAGGACGTGGGCGATCTCTAGAAGTTTTCTGTCACTTGTAGCTCTTTGCAATGTTTATCATTTTAATTCCTTCTAATCCCTGTTCTGCCAAAAAAAAAATTATACGAGCTTTTTAGGTTATTCACTGCTTTCCTCTGTCCTCCTTGCCTTCAATATGACCTGTGAGTGACAAATTTTCTAAGCTCTCTTTCCTCATATGTCCTGGACATTTCAACTCCCTTTTTTCTGTTTCTAACTATAAGTGTCCTTTATGTTTCCATTTTCCTCAAAACTTAGTCATTGCTCACATGTTCAGTTCATGGTATTCTCAGTATCCTTCTGTAGAACCACATTTGTTGCCTCAAGTCATTTCTTCATCTGTGAGAAGATTGCTCAAGATTTACTTCCTTATCCGCCTGACACTATCTTAAAAAATATCAATAGAATTCATTGCTTTAACTAGCATGCTCTTCTTAAAAACCATTGTGCATTATTTTATTACAGAATGTTTGATAACTCCAGCCTGTCACTAAACTTGGCTCAGTCCAGTTTAGTTATTTTGTAATCTTGTAAGACACAAATGTTAAATTTTAAAAAATGTTTAAAAAAAAAAAAAGAAACATTTTACCGCCTCTTGTAAAATAAAATAAGATATAAAAAAAAATCCAAATTTAGAACTTAAATTTATGTGGCTAGAGTTTCCAAATATCAGATTTTGATGTGATGTGCTCTAAATTAACTCTGTTATTTGTGAAGTAAACAGGGGAAAAAAGGGTATTTTGGTTTTACTGTGATTTCTATCAGTGCAAAAGAAATGCTGACTGATTTGTATAAATACAGATTCAAATTCTGTCGTCTGGCTTCCTAAATTCCATGCCAACTTTAAAATCATCTGATGTTATAATTCATGTGCTTAACTTATACTGTAGCAACAAAATACTTCTAATCTACATATAATACACTTACAATGTCTTTTGATTATTATATATTAATTGGCACAAATGTGGATAAAACTTTTGGGCAAAATTTAGATTCTTTTTCTATGACTTATCAAAGTTGAAAATTTCTGAGACACATAATGAAAAAAGAATGCTTGGAGAATCAGAGACTCATAGGACATATTGGTTGTTGAAGGGGATAGAGGAAAGCAGCAAGTAACCTACCTAAGAAGCTTGTGTAAATGGATGGCAGAACAGGGAATAGGAAAGCTAATGAAAAGAAAAACCTTTAAGAGCTATAGGAACTTGTGGAGAACCAGGATCACCTACTTCTAATAATGGATGTGCAGGTTGCATAACAGTTATCAGTATGAAAATCGGAATCGGCAAACCAAGTTCAAACTTTGGCCTCTTCTGGTGCATTCATTTTTCAGCCATTGCAAATGGATACACCACATAAAAGAATTTGTAATACGATATATCTTCTTTTTTTTTTTCTTTTTTTTTTTTAATGTTCATAAAATATAATTTTAATAAGTTTTAAAGAAAGCATAATCACAATTTTAATTTTGTTAATTTTTTTTTTTTTTTTAAATCACAAATTGCTATGATGCTAAAAATTCTTATCTATTTTTGCAAATAGTTTCCATGGTTCTAGATCTTTCTTTTCTATTCAGTTTTTAAATTTTTCATTATTAAAATGATAGTCTCAGTGAAACCTCATATGATTGACTATTCGTTTGCTTTCAGCCTTTGCATATTCTATTATAATAAAGACGCTTTAACATTTCCATTTGTCAAAATATGGCTTATTATTCTTGAAGTGCCGTTGCCATCAGTGCTGCTATTGTCAACTTTTTCTTTCAATAGGTGTGGCAAATCCCAGTTCCTTGAGCAATAACAACACAAAGGAATTCTTGTATTATGGCTAGAGTGACATTGTTCTTGGAGGCAGAAATAAATCTTACCAGGAAAATGGATTAGAGGGGAGGGGTGGTAGGTAGTAATCAACTCTGTCTGTGAGAGAGATAAGATCTTTTCGAGTAGATATATAAAAAAAAGTTTTCTTGCTATCACATCAAGGATGGCGTAGTTAATAACAGCAGTATTTTGTATTGAAAGAATTCAGCATAGAAGAACATCTTCTGAATAGTCATGTTATTAAAAGTGTAATCAAAGTTAAGATTTGGATTTTTATTAGTAGTACTAATAAAAAAATTATTACTACTAATAACTATCAAAATAAAGCTGGTATCAATATAAGAAAGAACCTATAGTGGAGTAATGGATAGCAGCTTGGATTGAGAAATTGGAGAAATGAGTTCAAATTCCAGTCAGATCCAATACATTCACTTACATGCTAATACCCATGGGAAAGGTATGAATCTTCCACCCCACCTCCCAGCTATGGGTAAATAACAGGACAGATCAGGTTCTATATCCTTGGATGGCAACTGGTCTACCGTAGAAAGAAATGCCAATCTACTGCGGGAGAAAAATCTGCCTTGTCAGTCATATATCGAAAGATACATGATCGTCTAAGCATGCATCATTTATGGCACGTAGCTAACTGAAGTATTTACATTGTGCTTCTTGCCAGTTTATAGTTCTACACCTCTCAAAAAAATTTTTTTAATCATTTAATACCTAAGCAAGGCAAATAAAGTCACTAAGATGCAATGGGGTTACTGCGTGTTAGAGAATGTGAGGAAAAAAAACACAAAGAGAAGAAACAATAAAAGAACAAGAATTAAAAAAACAAAAGATAATGATTGACATTGCATTTAAATTTCTGAAGATCAAAGTTGAATGGAAAGCAATAAGACAGAAGAGTTCCACAAGTGAGAAGTGCGATAGAAGAACTTATTAGCATAGAACTTATGGTTACATCTAGCCATTTCAATATAACCTTTGTTTGTTTTCAGTTTTTGTTTTTTTTAGCATCCAGTGGCATGATGAATGAAAGCAAACTATAAACCCTTAAAACTAGAACCTTCTATACATTTATATAAAAAGAAAAATCAAGAATATTAGCTTTTATTCAAGATGTGGGTGGTGATGGCTCTCCACCACTTTTATTCTTTATAGCTCTAAGCAATGTTTGTCCTTATTATCTCTGCCATCCATCTTCAGAAGCTCATTAGGGAGGTTACTTGCTGTTTCCCTGTCCCTCTTGAATTCAATATGTGCTATCAAATTCTCCAAGCCCTCTTTCCTCATTGTGTCTCAGATAGTATGAAAACTAAAATTATTTTTGCATAGTTGAGTTTTTAAACTTAAAAATTAATTTTATTTTTTAAATATTGGCCTTTTAATTCAATATCTCAAAATTTATTTTTTTGTTCTGCTTTTCATTTTTTTCATCCAATAAAAACTAGAAAGATCCCTCAAGACAATATATGACAAGAAGATTAAGGACTCGATGATATATCTATAATATTTTAAATGGGGCATTTCAAAACCCCACATTACTAATGCTATGATAATGGCCTACAGTTCTAATGGTCAATTATGGCTTTGGCCTTCTTAAATCTCAAATCTTTTTGTGGGGAAATTTAACCCATCTGAATTGAAAACAGATCTTTTTTTACAGGAAGTTTTCTAAACATTTTTCTTGTTTCATGATCAACATGATATGCTCTTTGAAATAAGAAATTGAAGGTTGTGTGCCACTTACAAAACTAATTTAAAAGTTCACTTTGGACCAGAAGGGCTTTCTCTAATAACAAAAATTTACCCATTACTGCATAAGGTTTCCTTAAAATTTTAGGTCTTTTTGCCTAATCTACCTTGCTGGCTGATAATATTTTTAAAGTCCGCAGATTTTAAATTTTAGGTAATTCCTTCTCTAAAACATTGGATGTCATGTGTGAATGAATTTAATAGTTTAGGCACCCTAGCTTAGTAGTTAATTAATCCAAACAAACTATGTATGAAACTTCATTTAAGGGCTATATGTGATACATGCTTCTTACCGACTAGGCAGAAGATTTTCTTGCAGTTGCTTGCTATTTATTTCTGTAATAGACTGGTTGCCAACAGAGGCTATAGGACCCATTCTGTCTTGCTATTCAACTTCTCGTTTGTGGTGGGGAATAGTTAAATTCATACCTTTCCCAAGAGTATTTGTACATAAGTGATTGTAATGAACCTGACTGGAATTCAAACACTGCTCTTTGATTTCTCATTTCAAGTCATTAACCATTTCACCCCCACACATGAAATTTACTCACTATTAAATCCAGAGGGTAGCCCCAAACTTTTGGCCTGTAGTGTATATTCTGAAGGGATATGGCATTTAAAAGATAGTACTTTATCTGATCAGTATTTAAGGATTTTCAAATCTGACAGCTCCTGAGGAAGGCCAGGGAACATTGGTTGAAACATGATTACAGACAACAAAGGAAAATTGTAAATCACAGAACTTATAACATTTTTGCAGAATATAACAGTCAGATTAAGAATTAAATTTATCCCTGTTTGCTTAATTTGAAATGAATGAGGGAAAAACACAGATGTTGGTTGGTCTTTGTTTGGTTACCAAAAACCAAAAAATTGCATTTTATTCTTAGCAATTCAGATACACGTTTTTATCTTTTTATTATTGTTTTGCAGTTTTTGTGAGCTGTCAGTTTAAATGTAGAATGAAATAAAAATATTAAAAAAAAATGTTTTTGATCTTGCATATTATTTTAACCTAAACAGTATCAATTTATTAGTAGTAGTAATAATATTGTTG